TATTATATATATATATATATATATATATATATATATATATATATACATACTTACTCTCTTCTCAGTCCTATTGCCCATGTCCGAGCGTGGTGATTTTTCTCATATATCTGTGGTGCGCATGATGATTATACACAGGTATATGAGACAGTTTAATGCCAGTTACGAAATTTTTGGCAAATTTTTGGTAGAGAGACGTCCACGGCAAAGTTACTCTCGGTGATTTGCCATTGCCTTCCGAGAGGAGCGTAAATATTTTTGACTTTGACGGGAATCGAATCCGGAACCTCTAACATAAAAAAGTGCATTGACTACTGTGCCACGCTCGATCATCAAAATATACTCACACATGCATACAATATGTATATATACAGACACTTATATCCTTTATAATGTAAACTTCTCGAATGGATCGTTTTCATCGCAAGTTTGTCCGTAATGTTGTTCCGCTAATAGGATTTTTATCATTATAAGCTGATTCGAGTATTCCACACCATTGCGACCGCGGATATAGACAAATAATAAAGAACCGATGCATGAAGATCAAGTGCCATAGCGCGCTTTGGACATCGACTTTCTCCTTGTTTTACCTAATAACTTGGTAAAATCTGTATATTACGGCTCACAAATAATTCCAGGATGACTTAGCACATTCTCCATCGTGGAAATATTTGTTCTGCGCGTCTTTCATTAACTAGCCACTATTTCACAATACTAACATTCGTCATTTTCGCTACGTCTTCATGCGGTTAGTATTTATATATGGATGTATACATGGATGCTCTTATTTTTAAGATTCTTACATACAATAAAGATGACATAGGTATTATTTACAAGTGATTACGTTGGGATATAATACTTTGATACAAATGTTTGATACAAACGTTTCTCGATTATTTGTTTGCTTTAAGATTCATCATTTTTTATAATTCATCCGTGAGGAGGTAAGTTTTGAAGAAGTGTTCATTGAATATATTTTGATATCTATCGTGAATACACATAATAGCAGTACGAATATTATGATTTAAAAGTGTCTTAAAAAATTCAAAAAAAATGTCTCGACAAGATCTGTACATATAATTATACTCAGTAATTTTTCAATAATTCATTCATTCTGCGCAGAGCTACACAAATAACCGAGAAACGTTATATCGTGTTCTTACATATATTTAAAATATAAAATTATCCTAGCTCTTATGCATAAAAGCAATTATCAAATATTATAACTTGAGATACCGGAAGCGACATCAATATTTGTTTTTTGTTGATGAGACGTTGGAAAGACCTCAACGTACTGCGCAGTCTTAATACATATCGTGAAATTGAATTCGTGTAGGTATGATATGCACGTATATGATAAGAAACATAACTTAAGCGGATATGTGTGATCTCAAGAGTGAAGGGGTGGATTTCAAACGTTCCTTTAGGAATGTCTATGAACTACTTAGGGGCTTGCCATTGAACAACGATTAAAACGAGAGATGGATAGAAATAAGAAATCCATGCAACAAGAATTATCTATGGTAAAAGTTAACTCTTGCGCACTGCCGTGCTGTCTATTTTCTTTTTATAATGAAGCGATACTTGGCAAGCGTTGTTCAAAGATGTTACTTTAATATAAAGTTTATACAATATAAAAGTTAGTTGATATAATAATTTAGAGTAATTTAGAGTACTTTAGAGTAATTTGTCAAAGCCGGGGACAATTAGTAATAAACATATTGCTCGCTTTGTTTTAATTATCTTATTTACGGAATTATACAGAGACATAAGAATTTTATCATTTCCCGCGAAGAGACATTTTTCTTACTCACCTGTTAAAAGATTCTTAAGATGACTTGCCCATGAAACTTGTACAATGTGTCACTTTGTAGCATTGTAAAAAAAAAAGATTAACTTGATTGTTAAGTATTTCCTCATCAAGTTCATATGCCTGCAACTGTCATTTCTATTATTCACAGAGATTAACAATAGATTATAAAGTATAAAGAATTCATAAATGCTGTTGATAAATGTTTACTCAAACACTGCCTTTAAGTGATAGAGGGAAGGATTCTTTGATGCGAGATCTTAATAATTAAAATCCTAATCGGGTCTTAACGTATTACTCTACACTTTAATAAAAACATATTGTAAAAAACTCAAATAATTAGATACGAAGATATAATGTATAAATATAATGCGCGTGCGTGTACACAAGCTTGTACATTATTTAGAAAAATAAGAACTATGGTGAACCATTTAATATGTGATAATTGACGGCAACGCATATGAGCGCACCATTATTCTTTATCTTTGATCCACCTTTAGCTCGAAAATATTATGTGTAATTTCTTTTTTGTAGCAATAAAGTGAAAATCGAATATATTTTCTTATCTTAATTATTACCCGCTAATCCACGAAGGAAAAAGTTCTTTACTTTTTTTTTTTAAGACTAATATCTTAATGTATTACGACATACGATCGTATGACGATATTGTCACGAGAATTCTATATACTTTGTTAAATATACGGTCATTCATCATTGATTGATGAAGCATTACCAATCGATGAGGCTTCACATCCTACTCTCTGTTCCTCGTTAGCAAATTAGTCAGAAGCCAACGAGTGTCATGGTCGCACACACTAATTTCATTTGGTAATAAGTGACGCAAATAATACTTTTTTAAATGTAATTACCATAATGATAACGTATGTGTACAAAAATAATTTTAAATGAAGATGAATATTACTTTTATGAAAAAAATAAGCATCAAGATTTGTATTGTTCTTCTGCTTGCTTCGTCTATTGTAAAGTTAAAACATACATTATATAATTTGAAATGTTTTTTTCTTCATTTGCATGTAGTAAAATTACAACAATTTTTGATAAACTTTGATAAGTTAAGAGAATTGTGAGATTGATTCTCGAATGTGATTAATTTTATTTTGATAATTCGTAATTTCTTCGTAATCTTGTAATTTTAATTAGGGACTATAAACAGCTGGCTTGAATTTCACTAAACTACATGCTTTGATTATATTAGATTCAAATATTCTGCAATGAGATTTAAAATGATCATTGATTTTCGGTAATCAGATTAATATATGAATAATATGTATAATAATAATATATATGAATAATATCATACATGTACACAAATCATTTTGATTAAAATTTTTTTTCTATCTTTTTTCTATTTTTCTTTTTCTTTTTAATAATATAAAAAATTTTATATGTTATTAAATCTTTTAACCAAGGGGAAAAAATAATGAAGAAGAAATAGGTAGCAAATTTTGTGACACAGTTCTTTTTTTAATCTTTGTCAAATAAAATATTTTTTATTCTGTTTAATAAATACTTATTTTCTCTCCAAATATACTGAATTTTCTTTCTCTCTTTCTCTTTCTCTCTCTCAAATTTCTACTTATTATTAATTTCCAATTTTTAGAACTAATTCTCTGTCTAAAATATTATATGAAAAAATTTCATCTTAATTTATTTTATTCTTGTTTCATATGAGAATATTATCTTTGCAATTATACTTAACATTTATGTAACAAGATTACAAAAACAAAATCTATATATAAATCTATATATAATTGTATAATTTGATATTTTAATATAACAAACGTAACAAATAAATATTCAGCGTTCAACGTTTGTTCTGCTGTGCATAATTTGTAATTTTATTGATCTTGTTTGTATCAGATACTTATACTAATTACTAATTATATGCATGTACAGAAAGAAAACTGATGGCCTCGGAGTGAGGTATAAGGTTACAATTATCCGGAGAGTTACAATATAAACGTAATTATATTTCTTAATTTATCTCTGTATAGATCACTCATGATTATTCATGAAATATCTCGGTTTCAACTTCTGTACTGAAATCATGCAAGGGACGAACTCCGGAGGGATCGTACAGCGAAACGCCTAACGCCGACGCAGAACTTTCATTATTCTTTCAGGGTAATGATTGAATCTACTGAGATGTTGTAATGTGCGCGCGCGTTTGTAGCAAGGGGTCCGGTAATGTATAAAAACAGCAACCGCATCTTAGATCTGTCGTGAACGACATCTTTTGCACATCGATATTGTGTGCGTTCTCTTTAGCAAAAAGATAAATCGGTCTTTAAAAAAAGTGTGTTACTATGTGAGTTCTTCTATCTTTTTCATCTTTTATTTTTATTTTCCGTGCAATTTATTCTAGCCCGAGTTGTCACATTAATTTCGACAAACTAGTGATCTAGTTTGATTAATTTAAATAAATGCAAGTACTTAAAACGAATTCTTCGGTTCTTGATAAAACAACTGTAGGGAAAGAGAGAGATTGTTTAATTTTATCAGTAACTCAGTTTACGTGCAAAGTTTTGTGAATTGTTTAACAGCCTTTTGAAATTTTTTTTTTCTATGTGATGATATAATTACTAAATATATCATCTTTATTATTACAAATTTATACACAGCTATTATATACATACATAAACAAATTTTTGTTATGCTATGTTCCGAATTTCATTCATGAAATGCTTTTAATTTTAAACATATTTTACATATGCATATATTTTATACATATTCATAACACAATCATGATGTCAGATTATATAAATATTCAAATATATTATATTACGTTACAATATAAATATTTATTATTTAACATAAAGTCAGATTGTAAAATGAATATTTAAAAATATTGATAATTTCCATCATAAATTTAATTTATTACAAGTTTTAGGAAACAGGATTTATTATACAGCAAATGTTTTTATATCAAAATGCAATAATTTTTAAAAATACTGAAAATAATAATAAGAATAAATTCGGCAATCATTTTTTAATTTATAATCATTTAATATATATGTATTTTTTTTTGTTCAAGGATCTGTAAGACGTCAATGAGCTTGCTCGCTATAGCATTTCTTTTCTTAATTCTTGTTTCGGATGGTGAAGCTCAGATAACTTTTTCTACCGGATGGGGAAAAAGAAATCAGGATATGCGAATTAGATCGAGTAACACAAATTGTTTGTTACAAGATGCATCGTTGGATCAATTGTTAAAATTATATTCGTTCATTCAGGTACAAGATGTGAAGTTTAAACATTTAATAAATCATAAAAAGTTGTTATTGTAAAACATTTACAGTTATTGTGACATTTGAAGCTTATTTATTTATTACAAATATTATATATCAAATATTTATTGAAAGGATCATGAAACCGATACATATGTACATATCGTTTACGATTTATACTTACTTGTAGATCGAAGCTCGGAGGATTTTGGATTGTCAAATCTTGAACAAATAAACTCCAGGAAAATGTCATTGATCTTATCAACCGGACTTGTGTGCCAGACTATTGTTAATCTGAATTAAGAGAGAGTTAATTATATTTGGATAATAGGATCTCCACATTTCTTATAATTCTCTTTCTAATATCTCGAACGACACGTTTACAAATGCTACGCATTTTGTACGATATTCGAAATTTCTCTGTGAAAATATAAGAGTATTTGAAATTTTTAATTATTATTATTTTTATCTGCTTGCTTTATGCTTTATACATAAAATGTAGTGTGAGGTAATATTGAGAGTAACAATTGAATACTGAAGCTGGTCTTCTTCGAGAACATTCACTACTGTGGATTAGTTATGAATGTTGCATTCCTACAAATCAAACAGTAAACCATTAATTGTACCATTAATTGTATTCTGAGAATGGACTGATAATAAACCGATATTAAATACTTTTATAAAGTTCCTTATCTATTTTCTGTTAAAAATGCAAGAATTATACAGTTATATGTTATTATTAACTTTTGAGACATTTGTTATATTTTAATTATATATATTTAGAACACATCCTGAACACATTTAGAAATATAATACTGCAGTTCATGACATAAATGATAAAATGTGAATGTTAGTGAAGTGTTAATTATTCCGACAATTTTTTTTTAAAGTATATAAATTCTATTATCAAATAACGCAATCTACCGACTGATAATATACGTATAAGAATTCCTACACTTCTAACACTCTTATTACAACGATTCATATAATTAGAAATACATTAATTTTCTTGAATGGTTTACGTTATTTAATTTAGCAAGTCTTTTTTTTCTATATAGATTTATTCATGTTATAGAAATATAAAAACTTTAATTCATACAAATTTAAATATATAGAAATCGGAACAAATGCAATCCATTCACTTTTTATCACTATGTATCATAGTGGTATCACCATGTCATATGTTAGATCACCACTTTGCAGTCTTCTGAAAGATTAAAAGAGAAAGAGGGTGGTTTGCCTCGCTTGCTACTTGATCGCCTCGAACAATCGGGCTGATTATTGGGATGAGTCGCGATGATGGCCGGATGGTGTTCCAAGTGACGGTCCACTCTTAGAATCGTGAGATAAGGTCTCAGGTCGACATAAAATTTCCGCGCATTATATACCTGTGGCACTAGGCAACGATCCGCTAATGTAATCTCGTCGCCGACGCAACACTTGCCCGCGCTCGACGATAATTTCTCCACAGCTGAAAAACAGTTTTATCAGTTTTAACAGTGTTTACTTGATTATATAAATGTGTCGTTGAAACATCGCTGTTGATCATTAAGAAAATTAGACATTTCCTTTTTAACATTACATTAGAGTACACGGTCTTACGTAATATTTTTCTTGATGATTTTCATATTCAATGAATGATTATAATTATAAAATTTGTAGCCTTCATACATCAGCATTTGAAAACAACATTAAATATACAAACCTTAACTAGAAGTTATTTATAAAAGTTTTTTATAAAATCCAGATTTAAAGATCTTAAATCAATTTCAAAAAAAAATGCAATTGTAGCATTTAAAATTTCGATGGCGATTGTACACTGATTTCGAGATTTATTGATCAAAGTTATTTGGAATTATTGCGATGAAACAATGCGTGACCATCCATTCGGTGCATTCTCTCTCTCTCTTTCTCTCTCTCTCTCTCTCTCTCTCTCTCTCTCTCTCTCTCTCTCTCTCTCTCTCTCTCTCTCTCTCTCTCTCTCTCTCTCTCTTCCCCCCCTTTCTCGGTGCCTGCTTGTACCTTGCCGATCTAGCTGATCCAAGAGAAGATTAAATAACGCATAATACTCACTTTAGTCATCACGAATGACTATCTCGTTCGTCTCTCGTGGACAATCTTCTTCCGTCTTCTATCCGATCAGCGAATGTTATGCCACCGAAGAACCGCGATAAATGCGCGAAATCGCACTTTTTCTCCCTTTTTATTTGATTACCAGCTGTTCCTTTCCCCTACACCGTTGTACCCTGCCGCCACTGCCGCTATGTGAAACTGGTAGCCGGTGAATCGCCTCGGTCGATCGCATATATGCATTCTGATATGATTATTTCTGATATGATTATTTCCTATTTTCGTTAGAGACCTTTATCATATATAAATAGGAGGTTGTACACTATCTCAAAATTTAAGGCTCGGTTCTCTCGCGGCGCGATATGGATTGTGTGACGTCAGAGGCGAGAAATAACATGTAAAAAGTTATGTCATATAGCTTTATCTTGTATTTTTCCCTTAAAAATATGATATTTTCGTATTCTTAAAACTTGTAAAAAATACCAGAAAGTAAGATATCTGTCCAATAAATTACGTAAAAGTGTAAAATAATTCTTGAAATAATGATCACTGCTCAGCTATCAGAAACAATTAGATCTAGTGATCTGGCAATCAAATATGATAAAAATTTTATTTTTAAAAAGTTTTTTATAACGTAACTTACATTACAAAAATATCTCTAATAAATGTTTTTATTTGCATATTCAAAAAATAATATATAAATATGCTATTACTAGTAATTAGTAATAGCGTCAATTAGTCATTCTATAATATTATAATTTTCTGTAGATAGATTTTAAAAATTTTATAATAAAACATCACAAATAAAAAAACACTTATCGTTACAAATCTTTAATAATACTGAAAATGTCTTTAACGATCCTTTTGATTTGATGCTAGAAACTATCGAGAATCAACAAACAATGTTAATTTGAACGATATCATAATAAACATATAATACTTAAAAAATTCTTTTGCAATCATTTATAATATTTAATTAATCGATGAACACTAATGTCAATATAAAATGTATACAAAATGTAATTAAATTAAGTTACATTATTTGTGATTATATTATTGTTAATAAATTGCTATGCATTTACATAGCATAATCGTAATAGATACATATTCTTCTTTTTCAGTGTCTGCCATGTAATGTATTTCTATATTAAACATATAATAAAAATTATGAGGCAATTAAATTAATCAGATAGCAAACTTACGTTATTTGTTGTCATTTTGACATTAGATATCAAGATAATGACAAATAATGTCAGCTTACTTTCTGGTTTGTAAACATTATTATGTTTTGAAAATAATAATAATAATAATAATAATAATAATAATAATAATGTATTTTGCAAACATGAAATTATATTTAAGAAAGGATGCATAGCTTACAAATTACACACAGAAAAAGCAATAGGTATTTAATAAATTTGAAAATCATTAGAATATTGAGAATTTTAAAATATCATTTTATTTGGTCTTACATGAATGAATTTTCTAAAACCGATATTCATATTCCATTTTTATATTTAGGATTGTTATTGGCTGTCATACTAGGCCCGTACAGACGGATGACGCTTTTTTAAAATCCGGAAATCAGCCCGCCACGTGATACGAGACGTCACACGATCACGAGGGTGGGTAGTCAGGTGCTTCGGAGTGCCTTCTGCTCTTAGTACGGTTTATCGTAGGATCGTTCTACTCGGTTTCGGAAATTTCGATCTCCAGGATGACGGGTGGCGAGAAAAAGTCGCGCTTAGTTCGCACGCCGTTTCTCATGTTGTTCGCGGTTTGTCAGTTTGCGCTTTCGTACGCCTGTACGCCTGCCGTGATCTGGTGCCCGCACAACGAGTCGTCTGACTACGACGCGACATACAGAACGGCGCCGTCGAGTCCGCTGCAGAAGCTAACATCCGAGGAATTCGAGAGAAGTCTGTCGCAGTTCAATACGACCGAGTCGGCGATCGTCGCCGACGAATTGTGTGTCGAGGATCTACGAAATAGCAAGGTTAGTCCGCCGCCCCTGCCATCCTACTTCATATTCCCCTGCGTTTGCAAAAGGAACGCTTATCAGAATTTTGAAAAAAGAAGACCGTGTAAATAATTAATAGAAGATGAGACAAGAAATTCTGAAGCTCGCTAAATAAGTTGCACTTAGCATTCAAATTGTTATCGATATTGTCTTCATAAATTGTAGATCTGTTGCTTCCAGTATTTCTTATTTGTTTTTCCCTTTGAATATTCTGTCTTAACATGAATTTGTTCTGTTTTAAAACCAGAATATAAGAAGAGAATGTATCCAAGATAAAAATGAATAATGTTTGATGCAGAATTATTTTATTTTATTAAGACCTATAAGTAGAAATGTATTTTGTGTCTTGTATATGTAAATTTAATGTGTCCTATGCAAATAATTAGAGTTCAAAATGAAGTATGCAGAATAATGTTATATCAGTTACTTATTTGTAGAAAAATTATAAAATTGTATACAACTGTTGCAGGTGTTGTCAAATGCTACCAATGGATCAAAAATATTTTATTTCCCATGTGTCGTCACGCCAGATGCGATCTTCCGGAAAATCTATAAACAAGTAAAAACAATAGAGGATATAAACGACGATCATGAATTTAACATGATCTTGAAGGATGTTGATTCGAGTGGATGCACAGCACTTACAGGGAAACAATGCCGTTACAATTATGTTGAACGGATAAAGAGGGATACAGCTAATGATAATTCTACAGAATTTAAGATAAGAACAGAGAAAATTCTTTTTTACTCCGGTAAATCACTGTTGTTCAAGGTAAAGAAATATAAAACAAAAAGAATATTTTTAATATTGATCAATGAAAACAAAAATAAATGATATTAAAGTTTATGGATGAAATAAATATTATCCTTGCAGGCACCCGGCGAAAACTCAAAGGAAGTGACTCTCACTCAATCCAAAGTCTCTGAAGCAATAAGTCGTACAGATAAGGATAAGGAGGCAGTAATTTTAACTATTAAGTTCATCGATGTTGATGATATTGGCAGTTTAACGCTTGAATTCTTCTTTAACAAAAACGGCGGTTATTACACATGGAGCCAAATCAATTACGAGGCTGGAAACATCATTCTACGTAGCAAACGGGACATTTCTTTTCCAAAAAATTTCTCTTACCATTGCTTCCCGAAAACTGTCTTTGCAAATGGCAATGCATATTTAAATATCACAGATATGCAGGTGCAAGTCGATTCTAAAAATGGGACTTTCAGCGACGCGTATGACTGTGTCGGTTTTACCAGCATACCAATTTGGACGGGGATATTCGTCACTACGATATTGGGATTGATTATGATATGGGCACTCACTATGATCATGGATATTCGTACAATGGATAGATTTGACGATCCTAAGGGGAAAACTATCACGATCTCCGCTGCGGAGTAAGATAATAAAAATTTGTTATGCAAGTGTAGGTATTACTTGTGCAAAATCTATTCAGATAATATCGCATTGGTTGTTCATGACGATATTATCATCTTAGACGTTTAATTCCTCCGTGTCACACGTTTCACAAAAACAGAGAGTATTGAGTACTAATGATAATGCTAGTCTCATTACGAAGAACTTTTACTCGATGTATAAATCATTCCTTTGTATCATATTCTTGTATCTTACTTTCGATATTTATATATTGTTCGCTATTGTGCGTTTTGTATATGATGATTGTATATGATGGACATCTTGTTTTATTATTTAGCCTTTATGCATAGGAAAGGTATAAAATCTTTCGAATAAATAAAGATGTATACAGCATATATCATATTAAATAAAGATATGAGAGTAGGAAGTGTTCTTTTAAACAAAAAATATAATGTAATATGTGCATTAGAAAAGGAAAATTAGCTAAATGAATCTACATGAAAATGGGTCAACTGCACACAGCATTGGCTGTTATTATTTGTACAGTGCAATGTGATATTTATCTTCTGATAAATAGCAACAAGTGCAAATCAAGAGCTGAAAACAGTTATTACACGCTAGATGAATATGTATTTGAAATATGAGAGGCACATACGTCTTGTAATGGTACTCATATCTATATAAGCTTCCTTGTTAATAAGAGTTTGTAAAAAACATGTAATATAAGCTATAATAAGCTATAATATAAATGTTTAATATAATGTATAAGAAAAATATATAATATAATCGTCGATATAAAATTAATTTGTCGCCCTTTTTTTTTACGAGTTCACTCATGTCAAACAGACAGGAACTTCAACACCGTGAATTATCATAAACACCATAGAGTATGGTGGTAAAAATACAGGATTCATAGGATCCAATATCACAGGTCGAAATGGCGGCAAATCTCCATTTGGTTGCAGTCTTAGCGGTTCACTTTCGTCATTTAACTTTATTTCGCTGTAAAAATATGATTCAGATTTATTTATTCAGTTCGACATTAATAATAAAATTAGATTTTTTACTATTTGGATTTTAGATATTTACAATAATATATAATTTCTATATTATTAAAGAATTGATTGCTGTTCTTATACATACCTTGATTGCAAAGCATCGGCGGTTAGAGCATAATAGAATATCTTCATGATTTTACTAGGTTGTGTAAACAATTCCGGAATATCCACATGGGCGAAGGTCTTGCCCATGTTCATTCCATAAATTGTAACGGCTGGTACTCTGGCGATCAACGCTTTCTTTGCCGTGCAATGCGCGTACAATCGTACGTAACCGAAATTGTTGGGCGTGATCAATTTCAGGACTTTTTCTGACACGAATTGTTTGTAGAAAACACTGATCCACCAATCGGGATTTGGCATGAGATTTGTCGATACCATAGCATAATCCCCGCCGAATAACGATTGCCTCGTGACGACGTTCAATCCTGCTTTAGCGCTGTATCCCAATTTGTCCAACCACAGAAATCCGGCTACGAATCTATCGGATAATCCGGGAGCACCTCCGCCAAACGCAGTGCTGGTCTCTGCTATAAATTAGATTTTCTATGGAATTCAACTTTGTGCTATACAATAATATAGTCTCAAATGAGAAATCCATCCTAAAAAGATTGGATAAGTGATAAATATCATTTAAAAAAAATACATTCAAAAATCAAGAAACCTGCAGTTTTTAAAAAAAGAGAGGGACCTATATATTTTTAATATATAAAAAATAGCATCATGAATAGCATAACATAGAAAGAGAAATAATTATTTGAAAATTAAAAGCAGAAAAGTGATTTGTCATGCAATATCCAATATTTTGATATTAATATACATACACAGCCACATAGAAACATTTTTCCCCGATTCGGCAATAAATTGTCTCATGGAATTAATTTGTGTCGGCAGCCAATTAAATGTGAAAGGATTCACGAAATCATCGATCTTAGCCACTCGACCATTTAAATAATATTGATGCCAAGTGACATAATTCACAGTGTCCTTCTGAGTACTTAAAAACGTTTTGGCATATTGTTCTCCCATTTGATTCAAATCTCCAACATGATTCACTTCTGGTCCAACGAGGATGCTATTCATATATCCTGCTTCATTTAGCAACTGCCTTAAATGATCATAATCCTTCGCAAGTTCAGTCGCAGAGATTGTTACATTGAACACGTGCCTAAAGGAATTGGGTTCTGAAAATGTTGCCAAAATAAATATTTGGAATTTATATGCTTACATATCATATTATATATGTATTGGTTTGTAGTATAATTAATATTTGCTCATATTTACAATACTTATACTAATGTTATTTATAAAATTAAATTTTCTTTTTAATTTGTATTTGCTATTTATATATTAATCATATTATATACGATCATATATATATATATATATATATATGTGTACTATCTCTACATTTATAGTTGTTTACCATTTCCTAATTGCCAATCCAACATCATGTCTTGATTCTTAGCGAATGCAATAATCTTTCGTGCATTGGTATCATTCCAAGATCCATCCGGATTTCTAATCAATACATTCAGATCAAAGATCATTCGTAATCCTGATTTCACTGCAAAGTCGTAGATATTGAGCAAATCTGTACCAGAAATAGTAAAGTTGCTAATATCTTGACCGTCCACTGGACTAAGAATCTTCTCAGAAGAGTTTTGTTCCATCTGAATCATCAAACATACATTAAAGCAATAAGACAAACACAAATATCTAATGATTAACATGTTATATAATCACAAAATATAGAACATAAATAAATAAAAAAATAAATTCTGTATCATCATTGTATGATAATTCATAAAATTATTCTATTGTCTAGAGAATGTCACAATTTGCAAACCAACCTGATCCTGAATAAATATCAAACAATCCGCAGAAGTTCCACCCACTCTAACATAAGCGGGGCTTAGGTAACTAGCCAGATTGATAAATTTCTTCTGTCCAACAGGTAATTCTTTCATTCTTCGAAGTAAAGACGTATCGAGACCAAACGACAAAAACTTGTCAGAGACGACATGTAAGAGAGGTTGCTCTTCATCAAAGTGCAACACATAGGTGCGGATTTTAGGAACGTGAATATTGGAGCTCCATAATGTTAGTATCAGCAGCATTGAGCAAAGACCCAACGTGATGTAACAAAGTACAGAGCATATTGAGGGACCTGCAACAAGACATGTCAAAATTTTTTGATAATAAAGAAAATATATCAAATTCCAAAAAAATTATTTGTAACATCTACGTAAGTTTTGAAACAATTATTTTAGTGATTTACACAGAATTTTACATTTTTATTTTCATAAAAGAGCAGAGAAACAAAGCAATAAAATAGATTCTTTTTAAATATTATAACTAATCAATGACACAAAAAATAGACGCGAAATCGATACAAATCTGTGATATAATTTTAATAATAAATAAATGCAACGCGATAAATACTATATAATAAACAAAATAACTTTAAATGCAAGAAATAAATTTAAAAGAAGATTCAACTTAAAACTAGGATTTCGAACTTGAGGATTTTAATTCTAAATAAAGTTTACAATAATTATTTTAAATTTACAACAAAAGTTTCATAGTAAATATAACTCTCTTCAGAAATATATTTTCGCAAATATAAATAAAACTCGAGGACATTACCACGTGTTTCAAAGTATGATCACGTGACGAGGGTTTCAGTAAATATGGCGGCTGGACGAACAATCGATTTTGTTAGCGGCTTGCCATTGATATATAATAAAGGAAGACAGGATGTGATATAAGATAATTGATATAGCGTTTCAGGGGGAATGATTCATCCGAGAGCTACCAAGAGCAAGACGAACAAGACAAATCTATATGAGTGAGCGTATCTCGTATTTGTTTTTCCAGCGAGATGAGTTTCAGGTTCACTTACCGCTTCGTAAGCGAGAGTCATTCAGATCTTGATACCGATTCTTTCCCCAGTTATTGATCACGAAGTAGCTCATCGTCGTCGAAGAGATTTTCACAGCGTAGTCGCATCGACGTCGCAAATGTCACACGCGCGTTCGCCGGTCTTTATGCGCATCGGCGAACAATTGAACGCTTGAACTTCCGCCTTGCGCCGAAGAGAGCGAATTGAGGCGGGCACGACAAAAAGTGAACAGATTTGTTTCTGCGATGTCTCGTTTTTTTCCGATGTAAATTACTTCTTATTTTAGTAGGTATATAAATAACGAAGTAAAAATAGAACAGGACAAATTATAGAACACGTCATCGTGATGAATGGCTAATTCGCAGATGAATACTTGCGTTTTACTAAATAAAGAAAAATAAAGAACGGGAAAGAACGAAAGTTTTACTCTCACTATTTCAACACTAAATTTTCTCTATTTGAATTAAATTCTCAAATCTATCAAAGACAGATTCTGCAAAATATCTACTACAAATTTTATCAATGGAATGCTAATTAAAATGTAATAAAATCTATTAACAAAATGTGACGGCAAATTAATTGTAAAAACCGAAAAACCTGACATTTCGTAATCATGCAAATAATGTCCAAGGTTAAAAACCGGGATGTATATAAATTTATCAAAAGTATTATTAGACAAAAGATTTTGTGCGAATTTGTCCATACAACACAAATTTTACGGTATTACAATATTGCAGCAACATTGTTGCATTATTGTAACATATTAATATTGTTGCAACATAGCTGCAAAGTTTATACTGTATAAATGTTGACGAACTGTTAGCGTATCATTTTACCTAATAAAGTTATAGATTAAGAATAAAATTTTAAATCTTTTGGTGAATAATTTATATATTCTATAAGATTTTAAATATTTTCTTTATATAGATAAGTAACAAAATGGCGCGCAGTAAAATATGTACATATACAATTTTTTAATATGTATATATACAATTTATCTTCCCTACAAAGAAATATCCTGAATGTGATTATTGAAATATTGCAAATTTTATTTAATTTTCTGTTTAGACTTAGATAGATCGCATGCTCTTTTCAATCGGACTTTCTTGACATCTCGTAACATGTTATTCGGTTGTTCATAACAATTTATGTGCGATAAGACTATTTTATGACCCTCAAGACGCGAGCCAGAAGTGGACACAGTTTGATGTTCGGAAGAAACTGCTTTATTTACTGTATAGATTTCTTCGTTACTTGTGCACGACGCTATTCCCGATTGTAATTTCTCTGTCTTAGATCTCAACCAACATCTTCGTATTCTGCGTACTATAAACAATTAATAATTACTTTAATTCGATTAAATCGAGTCAGTAATTCAATGTTACAAATAATTACGCCGCGTATGAAAAATATTGTACTGTATATCTTGACTTAAATTTCCAACTGAAGATGTCGAGTACGACATTTAAAAAAGTACGAATGACAAAACATTTTGAAAATGAATTATTAATGCAAATATCTTATTTTCGAGATATTTATTATTATTGCAATTTTAAATTTTAATTGTTTTATTCCGTATAGAAATATATTGGAATTTACTTTTAGGTGAGATTTCTGCGCGAGTCGAATCGGAGCTGGAATTTGAGGGACGCGGAACGCGGGATTGACTCTTGTTTGCGGCGCGATTCCTGTAGGAAACGCTATGCCGACGTTTCCTTCTCGTGATTAATCTCTGCCGTGATTCCGAGTTGCTCAGTTCGTCTTCCGCCCAGAATTGTCGATCAGTATCGTCCGAGATCGGTAGAGCCGGAGCAGATGGCTTTAGATGATTATGATAAACGCATAATTCTATGACTCGCATAGAATCATGTTATAATGCTACATATTTGTTTTCGTTACGCTTTGCTCACAGCTTCCCCGTGGATGTCCAAAGCGCGTCCTTTTCTCTTTTCTCCGATGTCAGAAACCAAATTTTCATAACCCTCCTCTTCCTCAGAGCTGGACATTATCTTTGCATCTCCCCAAGCACAATAGTAGCCCATCTTATTTTACGTATAAATCACACACTGATGCAATTAGAATGCGCGATATCAAATTTTACAATTATTGTTTTGACATACTAGTAAATTTTTATGATACTTAGATAACCAATCACGAGTTACACGAGGGCGAAATGTGTAGTGTTTTTTTCGTAATTTGCAGTATTGCATCAAGTTATTACAATCGTTTTGTGTATTTAATTTTGAGAATGCTTTTATCTTTCAATAATTTTTTTATTTCACGTTTGCAGAAAACAGAAATTTCTCAACATTTTTGACGAGAAGAAATTTACTTATTTGCTTATCCTGTTAATATAATTTTATTATATTTAAAGATAAAGAGAAAACAGAAAAGTTAAATTAAGCAGTTAAGTCAGAGCTGTCAGATACAAGTATCTTAGTTCTATAACTGGCCTTACAAAATACGAGAGAGCTAAATTAATTTTATACAACGATTATATCACACATAAACTTGTCTCGTAGACTTTGGCTTCATTTATACATTCACGCTTATACATAAGTTGTTAATGAAAAATATGTTTATTTTTCCCTTTCCCACATTCGTCTTTTTCAATCGCTTTAACTTATGAGCACATCTTTACATTGTATGTACAATTTGTTAACGCAGTTTAATCGTTTTCGGATTTTCTGCGTTTTTTTGAACGCGGACTGTCAGTATCATGAGGACTCGGAGTTATGTGACTTCGTTTCCGCTTCATACTAATCTCATTTGCCTCATTGTTACTGCTCGCGGCAGTTCTAGTCTCCCTTCGAAATGTTCCCTCTCCCGTTACTTGTACTAATATCTGAAATTAAATGACATCGGTGATACTTTACTACATATTTTACTTGTAAAGTATAATAAAATATACATTGAAAAAAAGTATAATAAAAAACAAAGTGCTCTAACATGTCTTAAAAAAAGAAATATCAATGCAAACAATATTGCTTTCCTCTAACCAGTTTAGTAAATGTTGAAAAATATTATTTTACCTGCATATGTTGCAAGCACTCTTCTTGCATTAAGACTGCCATTTTATATATAAACGTATCGTGCTTGTTATACATAATAGCATTTTGGAACATAAGCATAACATCTCTCTGAAAATGCATAGTTGACCTAATCGTGCCGTTATCGATGTTCTTCTTAATAGTTGACAGATCCATCGGCCGAAAGATCACAGAATGATATCCTGGAGCCTGGTCTTCCGTGATCGGTCTCAGAAACACTGACGCGTATTTGTGCGTGGCCAAACGATTGTAAACGAGCATGACTGCTTTCTTCCAAGCGCGGTAATCCGCGCCTTCTCCAGTACCCTCGTTCTCTGGTTCGCTATCCACAGCAACGTTCTGCTTTTTAGAATACGTCTTCATCGCCCGACCGCTGTTCAATTTGCTCAATGAAGATTCCTCTTCGTCCAATTCTACGGATTCTTCTCCAACCGTGGATTCTATTTCTTTTTTTATGTTCTGTTCACCTTCTGCGTTCTTCTTGATGTCTTCTTTTTCCTCTTTTTCCTCCTTCACTTCAACATTTTCCTTCTTGTCCTCCTCCGATGGATCGTGAACCGAACTCTTTCTGTGAAAAGGATCAGTGACTTCTGATTCTGTTTCAGTTTTCGGTTCCTCGGATTTGACTTCCACATTTTCGGTTTTTTTAACATTCATTTCTGTATCAGTTGTCGCAATCTCGAGTGGCTCGCTCTTGATGCTTTTTATTTCTTCCATAGTTACTGTGTGCGTAATATTTTCATTTCCATCAATTGGTTCGTTGCCGACTTCCTCTTCTTTAATCTCTGCATCCTGCAAAATAGAACTCGCAGTGTCTTCCGAGGAGTCTTTGATTTCTTCCTTCTTAAACACATCCGTATATATCTCCAATGTTTCTTCATTAGCTCCTTCAGCTTCTGACTTTATCGAAGATTCCTCCTTTATTTCTACTATTGGTTTTTCTTTTATTGTCGATTCCTCTTTGAACGATTCCAAAGACTCAGTGCTCTCCACTGTGTTTTCGATTATCTGTTCCTCCGCTACCGCTTTCTTTTTATTCTCTGTGCTTTGATTGCTCTCATCGTCCTCCAGAATCAAACTGATATCCTGTGATTTTTCTGTGTCTTCGGCACTGGGTAGTTCGTTCGTCACCTCTGAAGAAACGCTGACGATCTCCGCGGATGGCACGTCCTGCTGATCCCCTGTAATTTTCGCCAAATATATTTCTAATTGATTTAATCCCGCATTATCTTTACCTTCCGTGTCTTCTGGAGACTCCTTCTGCTCTTTGATGCTACCGGGTGATTCTTTGTCATCGAGCGCGATCACTTCCATTTCTTCTTCCTCTTCCTCGTTTTCTTCTTCTACCCCTTCGTCCACAGTTTCATTTACCATCTCCTTCGTTTTATCCGGGAGTTTCGACTCACTCTTCTCGGTCTCTACATTCGACGTAATGCTTACGGACTTCACCTCAACGTCCGATTGTTTCTCTTCTACTGCGACATCTTTATTGATTTCTTCATTATTAATTTCCACTTCCGAAACAAGCTTCTCTGTTAAAGTTGTCTTTTTATCGCAAGTATTTTCAGCCTTTACTTCTGATGTGTTACATACGGTATCAGTAATTTCTGTGACAATAATTTTGGGTTCCTGTGTCTCTATAGCAACGGTTCCAATAATCTCGGCAATGTTAGAAGTACTAGAGTCAATTTCCTCGATTGCCATTTCGCTCTGTGGTGAATCAGACAGTGAAACGGCTTCGTCTACATCTCTAGGCTGTGACCTTGGTTCTGTCACCGCTATCGGAACTTCTGTCGTTTGTTGAGGTACACCTGCGAGATTGCTGATAACTGTAGTCGTTGTCGTCGTCGTAGTTGTCGAACCGCTCGTATCCAGAGTCTGCGGGCTAGCAGTTATCTCCTCCTTGATCAATTCTTCGATGTCATCGATGATATCGTTTATTTCATCTTTATCTATCACATCTGCCATTATATCTTTTCGTATTACATCTATGTGATCAATTATCTGCACCATGTTTTCCGTTACAGATACGTTCACTGGAGTGGTAGCAGTTGTTGGAACCGTTGCCGGTATCGTTGTTGCTGTCGTTACTTTGTTCTGAATAGCCACTTGTTGAACCTGGGTTTGCGATTGCGCTGCTTGCTGAAAGTTGTGTACTTCAGAGGTGACAGCCGTAGTTGTTTTCTGCTGCGCGTGAGATATAGTGGAGATTGTAGAGGTGGTTGTTGGTAGATTTGATAAGGGTCCTCTTTGTGTATTTGCTGGCATTTCCAGCAGCATAGAAAGCGTAGGTGCACCAACAGACGGTCGTTCTGACGTCGCATTCGCGCTGGCTATCGCCGTTGAGACTAAGTGCTGCAATTGTGGTGACACATTCTGCGCTAGCTGCGCATTCAATACTTTAGGACTAGATCCAAGTAAGCTGGTGATTGTTGGTGAACTTACTTGAACCGGTGTGGATGGAAAGGATTGTACAGTCTGAGTGGTTGGGCTAGGCGATTTCAATAAACTCGTCAGCAGTGGTGATCTGCCACCTCTATTGCTCTTCTTCTCCTCGTCGTTTTCCACCGACGATTCCATTGCAACAGGTTCCTGTACTATTTCCGTTGTACCTTCTGTATGTTTACGAGTGTTTTGACTCACGATTGGAGTCGAGACAGATGGCAAGTTCATCTCCTGTTTTTGTTGCTGCTGACGTTTTGCTAGCCAGGCCATATGAGTTCGTGTTTTTTGCTCAGCCTCGCGTTCTTCTTGTTGTATATCCAGCCACATCTTTTCCAACTTCTCGTCGCTTATTGCACCTGACTTAAGTAAATTTATATCTGATTTGAGCCGGAGGTATTCTTCCTTCTGAGAAGTCAGAGTCTGATTTAATTCTGCTATTCTTTCCTGCGTTAATTTTCTAACTATGGATTCACTAGTGGTTTCACCACTCTCTCGTTTCTTTCTCTTCGGTGTGTCGGCATTCTCCAGTAAATATGCATATTGAATAGCACATGATTTCTGGGAAAACCAATCTGCAGGCCTTAATGAGTCTTTTTCAACAAATTGTTTCAATGATCTAGATACACTCATCCAATTTTGATCTCCAGATTTCACTACGCTGGATGCAAGACACAATTGTTCCCGTGTAGACCATGTGTCACAGTTTATACGTTTGAGTTTCATTCCTGAAATCCATTTTCCTGATTAGATATTGTATCTTTTTTTTCATACGTTAAATAAAAATTAAATGTATGATATACAAAAAATTATAAAATTTATTAAACAAATTGAAAATATTAAAATATTAAATCTATTTCCAAAAAAGTTAATATATTTATAGCTAATGTCTGTGTCATTATAGAGTATTAAATACAGTGTTTCATGAACATTGCAATTCGCTTCATCAGGGCGAGGAGCAGCCATACCCGTAAATATATTAACTTTTTTGAAAATAGTAACCGTGGAAGCCTTAAAAACATTGAGTCTATTTGTTTTATATAATACTTTGTTTTGCATTTTCTATTAACATTTTTTCTTAAATACACATATCTTATTTTAAATATTATACAAAGCATAGTTAAAATAGTTAAAATATAAATAGATAGAAACATTTTATATTTTTTGTTTATACATATAGGTTAGCAAAATTTTGTTATTATATACCGAGTATTTATTACTTTTATCTTAAAGATAAAATTAGCGTAGCTTTAAAAAAACAATAAATTTCATAGAAACGATAAATATAGAATGCAATTTAAAATTTATTGATTTAATGTGAAAGTATTCGTTGAACTCAATTATCTTAACCTATAAATTATTTCGTATCTCATTAAAAGTGTAAAACAAAACAAACTTACTATCCTGCATTGATGCCATGGTGTGCCTTTTTCCAAATAGTTCTTCGCTGCTATTTATGATAAACGCATATAACTTCGAATTGTAAATAATTCGTCACTCGCAAGAGCACTTAATTTCACAACCCTTCAAAAAACTCTCAAACTAGAAACTAGAGGGTCGCCACCATCTTCGATTTATCGGTCGATTAAATTTACAAATTGCCAACTGCAAAATTTAAAATTTCATCCTTAGTTTAATTTCTTAATTATTTTAATTAAAAATATTATATAATTATTATATAAAAATATTATTTAATAAATCATAATTTGCAAAAAACAAAATAATATAATCAGTTTTAAGTTTAGCAGTTGGTAGACGCTAGCTGTAGCAATAAACATTTTTTCATGTACATTTTAAGATAAATTTTGCCACTTTATCTTCTACAATTTAAGACTCAATTGTGTATCTTTAAGCGAAATAAGAATTAAACATAAGGAAATTTATAATATCTATAGTTTTAATATCAAAATTTAATACATTTTCTCATTTCTATAATTTGTGTTTTTTCTCACTTTTATATTTGTATTTTTCCTCATTTTTGTATTTTTATAGAACATCTAATTGTATACTTTAGTTAGTTATAAAGAACAGACCTACTGGTGTGATTATAAACATAGATCTTATATTACTGGACTCTTTATGAATTATATGAAGAGACGATAAATGTCGTATTTTCTATCCTTCATTTTTCCGAAAGTAAGAGAAGGACATAAGATATTGTTCTCTCAAGATATTGCTCTATCAATTCGAATTTTAATTTGGATAGAAGGCGTATCCAGTGGCATATCCATAACATCTGTGATTCAGGGCCACTTTCACCAATTCTGGTTAATTTAATAATTTGTTCACAAATTTAACAACAAATACGATTGACGCATTGCTATATAAAAAACAGACCCATTGTCACGCGCCATTGGAACGCGGAACCTGGAACAGGCAGACAGCTGATCGTAACGAAACGCAGGAATGCAGGAATATCGTGACGATGGTGACGGGAATTGACGGGAATGTCGTAATGGCGGAACGAGTGGAAGCTGTCAAAGTATGTTGCGTCGACATAGGTTGTGCTTCATCACCGTGAGTTGAAACAACGCGTGAAACGAACGACGAGTCACGCCTTATCGAGGGCTGTGCCTCAAGGAATTGTTCGTTTGTGAAATTTGTAGAATTTCTGTCGCAACACGATGATGAATAATCGCAGGCGGAGCAACTTCACGTACGTCAGCTCGTGCGTCAAGTACATGATCTTTATGCTGAATTTCGTTTTCTGGGTGAGCTATTTGTTCTAGGACCGTCTTTCTAAATCCTTTTCGTCACTTTTTCTCGTTTTACGCTACGTACATGCAAACGCAGTTTGAAA